CCCCAGAGCCCTCCGTCCAGCAACTCAGTCCCTCGGGGAGTTTGGATGTGTCCATGAAACCCAGTATTCTTTAACAAAAAAAGAAAAACTCCTTATTTATTTTTTGTATCTTTAAGTGTTGGGAAGCTTTGTTCCAAAATTCAGAATTTCACCTGAAGATTAAAATTTTATCATTGGAAACAAGTGCTGTCGGTTTTTCTTAAACTGCCAGGCTCACTTTATTACTTTTTGAGAAAGTGTCCGTCAGATACATGAGTCTCAATAACCATAGTTTGTCAGTTGTTTTTTTCACGTGAAAATGGTGTTTCATGAAAAAATGTGGCTAGTTCAGCTCGCAGTGCAGCAATCAGTTGCACAAGTGCTTTTCCTCCAGACAACGCAATACTTTGGCATGCAGTAAAAATGCTTTTATGCCTACTTCCCATTTCACCACACATTTCTCATTAGTAAGAAGATACAGCCAAAACTAATTCGCTCCTTAGTTTTCATTACGTATATATATAGATTTTTCTTGAAATGATTACTATTTTTGCCTTAATTATATTTAGTAATTATATATAAAGTTATATCAAAATTTTCTTAATGGTTAAAATATATGTTGTATAAAAGTACTTTTTTTTCTGTCCCAAATAAATGTTTCAAATATGTAAAACAAAAAGTCCTTATTAATCTACCAACCTGTTCGGTAGACTTCAGTTATGTTTCCCTGCCTTTTGGTTCAGAGACTTAATTTTGTCGTGTGCCTTCCCAGGCAGCCCTTCTATCATTGTTAGTTACTACTCTTTAGTCTCTGTCTTAGTTATCTGGTGCCGCTATAATAGAAATACCACAGATGGGTGGCTTTAACAAACAAGTTTATATTCTCATAGTTCAGGAGGCTAGAAGTCTGAATTGAGGCTAGAAGTCTGAATTCAGGGTGGTGGCTTTAGGGAAAGCCTTTCTCTGTTGGCTCTGGGGGAAGGTCCTTGTCTCTTCTGAGCTTCTGCTCCTGGGTGATCTTCATGTGGCTTGTCATGTCTCTTCCCCGTCTTCTGCTTCTTAGCTTGATTGTTTAATCTCTTTTATATCTCAAAAGAGATTGACTCAAAATATACCCTATACTAATCCTGCCTCATTAACATAACAAAGACAACCTGTTCCCAAATGGGATTATAACCACAGATATAGAGGTTAGGAATTACAACACAAATTTTTGGGGGACACAATTCAATCCATAACCTTCGCCTTCACCTGTGTCTGTCCCTCCATCCTTCCCTTGCTCTCTCCTGAGCAGATGCACCACACAGTTGTAGATACTATCATTTCTTAGTTTCTGATATGTTTTCTGATGTTGCTCAGCATTTTCTTGGCGATAGGGGTCTTAATCTATAATGAATTCCATAGAACGCAAAGTTCATGATTTTAAGAATAATTTGAAACATTTCGAAATTTCTAATTCATGAGGGAAACAGGGATAGTCTTTATATTATGAACCTTAGTACTGAGGGAAACAGGTCTGTAGACACTCCCACCATCATCAAAGAAGTCCATGGACAAATTGCCCAGGCTCCATCCAGTAGAGGCAGGAGCCATGAATTGTTTCTCATTCTGTTTACCTTTGCGCATGATTGCAAAAAGTTGAGTGTAGTGTCCTTCCAAGGTTTTGACTTGACTGAATTGGGAGTGGAATTTCATTTAGTTTGAAACTGATTCCAATATGATTTCCACCACAACATATTTTACTAGAAACTACCGCCTGAATAATTGTCATTTTCCTGTATCAAAGGAGGTGAACAGACTTATAAATTCATTCAGCAAACAGGAATGTAGCACCTGATATAGGCTAGACATTGAGGCACATAAGATTTAGAGTTAAATTAAGACAGGGTTCCTTCCTTCAGAATACAATGAAAAAAGTACCATATAGGAGCTGTAACAAATCCTTGGGAAGCATGAGAGTGAGGGCTGGTTAAGGGTTTTTGGAGGAGGTAATAGTT